AATAATTTATGATTTCAGTTACTTAAGGAAAGTCTGAACTTTAGGCAGCAGTTCAAAATACTAAATAATAAGTTCTTGGTACTGTTTCTCTAAAATCATATCATATTTTTGATTTCCATCTGTAGCTCATAGCCTTTTACTTGCTGTTAACACTTGGTTGTTTGTAATTAAGCTGAAAGCTGCACAATGGGCTATCTCTACTCTGTATTGGTATAAGTCTGCAGAATTGGGGGGGGGGGGTAACACTTCTGATAACTTTACAAAATTTCATTACATATAGATATCTTCTTTGTAAAAAATCTTTATAAAAATGTCACTGTGAAGATGTGTTGTTAATTACTGATTAGATCCTTCAAACAAACAAAAATAGCTTGTTTTTTAAAATAAGTTGACAGAAAAGATACAAAAAATCTGGACAACAACCAAAAACCAAGAGTCACAATAAGAGGAAAAAATATATACACAAACAAAGACAGGGTTATTGCATTTGCACATTCACCCAACATTAATACAATACAGCATTCCTGTATTAAAAGACAAGACCAATTGAATCAGGCTTCTATATCACTTTCTGTAGTCAGCTCTTGTATCTTTTACACTGTAGTCAGGGTTTACTCTTGGAAGCCAGGTGCAAATGGCCTCTGCTCCACTAGTAGATGGGGGTAGGGGTCAGAGTATATTTGCAACTAAGTTTATTTGAAAGATATTTTTCAATGTCCCTAATCCAAAAATTTGTTATCTAATATTGAATATATAAGATAACAAACTTAGAAACCTGTGAACAGTGTTTGCTTATTTCTTTTCAAATTCTCTTGTAGGATAGGCCTCCCCTGCCTCTTCTGACAAGCAGCCACTGTACATGTTTTGCCACCTGAAGTTAGAAGAAACTGGAAGTCAAACATTTCTAGGTAACTGTCACTAGATAGAAATACTTGTGCATGGTATGCAACTTGCACCTTCCCATCAAACTGCATGCTACTTCTCATGCATGTGAAAAAAAAAAATTATAGTGTTCTCAACTGTATAGAAGCCTGTGATAGTTCTGTAACAGTTGCATGGTACTCCACCTTCTTTCAAAATATTACTCAGAATACCATGATCAAATGGTGGCAAGATGTTATTCTGCAGAAAGCCCTGTAAAAAATGCAGGACTCACTTTGCAACTATACCCAATGTTTGCCCAAGCCATGATTCAGCAACTTACATACTCAACAGCAGAAGGTCTTCCAGAACATTTATTTGCAGCAGTTAAGTGTCTCTCACTACAGTGTTGAATTATCTATGCACAACTCCTATTGTAATCTTAAGATTAGCACCAATAAAGTGCATGAAATGACCAGCTTCTGATCAAACTATTCTTCTACCACAGGAAAATGAGAAATATCTCAACTTCCACATATTTTCAACATCATTCTGGTTAGAAGGTTGACAAAGCTCTCTCTTCCAGCACTTTTTATATAGTATAGAGAGGCTATAATATGGAAACAAGGTACAAATGTAGTTTTGATGTTAGACTAAACTGTTATTATTGTAATGCGAGAAGTATAAAAATAAAATGGGTGACTTTTTAGCACTGATTGAAAAAAGATTTTGTTATAATTGGAATAACTGAAACCTGGCTAAAAGTAGACAATTTTGATTTCAGGAATTTCTTCGAAATACAAGGTTATAGGTTGTTTGAGAGAGATAGAGTACTAAAAATAGGGGGAGAAGGGGCTTTATATGTAAAATGTGAGTTACAGCTGTTCAAGTTGAGAATACCAAAACTAACAGCAATGAGGTTGAATCGGTTTTGGGTTTTTCTTAGCAGTTAAAAGAGAAGAAGGCTTTTAGTTGGAAACTAAGGAAACTGATGAAATTAATGAGTCATAAGTATGGGAGAATTTAATTTCAGGCATATAAGTTGGGAAATGTTAGAATCAAATCATGAGGGAGACAGATTTTTAGAAACTGTTCAAGATGGCTTTCTTCAACAATTGGTGAAGGAACCTACTAGGAACAATGCTATTTTAGATTTGTTGTTAATTTCTAATAAAGATGTGGTTGATAGGGTAGATATTGAGGAATATCTGGGTGCAACTGGTGATTGTTCATTTAGATTTGATGTTTTGCTGCATGTGGAAATAAGGAATAATGAGATTTTGGTTCCCAATTTCAAAACAAGCAAATTTTGAAGAGATGAGATAATTATATGGAGGTTATAAAGATTTCCCATGTGAAATTTCAAAATTTTCTGATGCATAAATGTATTTTTAATCTTAAAATCAAAATTACTTTGCATGTTGGATAGTCAACATTTCAAAAGAAAAAATGCATGAGCAATTCATTACTTAAAAAATCTTAAACTTAATGAAAAAATCTGATATTTTGCATACGAAAGCCTTGTAATATTTGCTGATAATCTGCAAAATTTTGTGAAGATATGCTTACTGTATTAAAAGTTATAGCATGAAAACTATAACAAGCACAAAATTGTTACGATGTCAATCCCTGAGACCAAGCCCATAGTGAGAGAGTTAAAATATATATAAAATTATCTAAAAATCACATGAACAAAATACACACACACATTACCCTCCTGCACTGTAGTACACCGAGACACCGTTTTTTAGATCTGATGTTATTACAAACTTAAAAAGTGGGGAAAAACAGTTTGAATATAATGCCTAACTGCCAAGTTTTCAATATAGCTTTATGTGTTTTTCCACCTGAAGTTAGAAGAAACTGGAAGTCAAACATTTCTAGATAACTGCCACTAGATAGAAATACTTGTGCATGGTATGCAACTGGCACCTTCCTATCAAACTGCATGCTACTCCTCATGCATGTGAAAAAAAAAATTATAGTGTTCTCAACTGTATAGAAGCTTTAAATTCTCAATTTCCTTATTTTTCCTTTTCAACAAAGCAACTGTCATATAACTTGAACAAAGCAAGTTTTTCACCCAAAGAAAAATTTTTAATTGCTCAGTCGTCTCCACAAAAATAGTATGTAAAAGAATATTTTTTTATTAAAACACAGATTATTTACCTTCTATAATGAGACAAAAACTTGGAGTCTTAAAAAAAGTGTAAAACGATGAAATAGTACTTTTTCCACACAACATACTTTAGTAAACAATTTTCATATTTACAATACAAACTACAAAAGAAAATGTACATATAGCACCTAAGATAATCAAATTTCAAAAGTACATTGTTTAATGCATTAACCCTTCCGAGACGAGTCACGGGTGAAAGGTCATGTCATCTCGTTTGTTGACTCACATTAAAAATTTTACTGAACTACTATTTCATGAATTTATATCAATAAGTTTGGTATCAAACTGTAGATTGTAATTCAAGTTTTAGTACTATACATTACTCAATTTCTTAATTTAAAAGTAAATATTAAAAACACAGATAAACGTCGATTTTTGTGTGTCATGTGGTATGTTGAATACAGCACTTGTTCAAATTAGGTGTTTGTGAAGTCAAAATACTAAATCTATAGTTTCAAACAAATTAGAAACTCAAATTACCAATATTGACAAGCTAAAATATAAAATAAGGTCTTATATTTTCTATTTGCTAAGATATTGCTCATGTAATAAATCAAACACAGTGGCACCCTGCCAACCTCTTTCCATTTTTGGAAACACTCTTTATATACACTTACTTCTATATATGACATGAATAACCAATCGGAAGCTCAGAATGTCCCCCTAGTGGCCTTCTTAGCCATTTTAACAGACTTTGTACTATTTCTTTCTTTTGAACCAATATTTCAACGAGGCAGAGTGTGTCTTTAGTCTGCTCGAAATTTCATATTTTTTTTAGCTAAAATTATATCTTAGTTACCAAGCTTGATAAATTATAGTGGAATTCTATGGTACTGATGTAGTAATTTATGATTTTTTAGTTACTCAAATGTATATACAAAACCTAAAAAAGTTATATTGTTTCATATCCTCCACATGCAAAATTTTTAAAGGCTTAGCAACCAAGTACAAAGGTCATAACTAGAAGAGCTAATTGTTTTCTTTACTTCTTTAGTTACTGTTCTATTTAGTGACTATTCTTTTAAGGCTAAGATTTCGTCAGGGGTTAGAGGGTTAGGTTCTCTCTTACTATTAAAATTATAAAACGTAGATAGCACAAGTAATAGAGAACCTAACCCTCTAAACCCTGACGAAATCTTAGCCTTAAAAGAAATAAAAACATCCATGTTACTGTTCTATGTTTTAAGAAAAATAAGTTTAAGAACTTATTTTAAAATGGTAATAATCTATATACATATATAATATATGCTAATTGAAATGTGACTGTGTTTTACAAAATACTACTCTACTAAAACACAGCCAAGACAAGTTACTTTGTGTATTGTTAGCCAAGCACGGCTGAAAGGTCAATATAACAAAAATAATAAATATATATATAAATGTATAATGTTATGACATTTAAGTTATTTAGTCTAAACATTTATGTTTTCGTGTTATAATCTGTGTTCATTCTAGAATGAAAGAGGCATAATATATATTTATTTCCTAATTTTTTTGGTGATTGTGAGATTGGTCAAATCTACTGAACCTGTACAGAGATTAAATACTCAAAATAACAGATAAAATATAAAGTTTTTTCTTAAGAAACGTTTGATAACTATCAGGACATTATAAAGATTTCGCAGGTGAAATTTGAAAATTTTCTGATGCATAAAAGTATTTTTAATCTTAAAATGAAAATTACTGTGCATGACAGATAGGCAACATGAGGAAAGAAAAAAAAGACATTGAGAAAAAATTTCTTTACAAATCTTAAGACTTAATAAAAAAAATTATATTTTGGGTATGAAAGTATTGTTTGCTGATAATCTGCCAAATTTCGTTAACATTCGCTTACTAATTTAAAAGTTATAGCATGAAAACTATAACAAGCACAAAATGGTTACAAGGTTGGTCCAAAGGACCGAGCCCATGCTGAAAGAGTTAATAACAAAATATTTTAATCCCAAGTAGTACTCACCTTCCATCTGGTCTTGTGTAAAACCACCCTGACTAGATTCAAAAACCACCTGATCTCTGTCCCTTTTGTCACCCTATACACATTAATATGGGATTTAATTGCAATAGGATAAGTTAAGTCTTAATCACACATTACATATTAGTACAATTTTGCTGTATACAGCTTCTAATACAGGAATAATTACACACAAAATCTAATAATGAGAAGACATCCAATTATTCAGTTCTGCGATAAAATGACGACTTTTCTTGGCTCTACTTAGACTTCCAACTTTTTAAAATTTACATTTTACAATAAAACATTTTTGATATGTGCAATAAAAACAGCAAGGTGACCTTCTGGGCTTACATTAATCTAAAAATTATACCTTATGACAGTTTCTATTCCTGATAGAAAAATTAAATCCACACAATGCAGTACAGTCATCAAATAATCAAGCTGAACTGTTTCATTTGCAATGGCGACCTAGTAATTTACACACATAAATTTTATATTAAACTATACCTATAGATTTGTTTTATTTCAACTTTTGCTTCTTCAAATTTTCCATCGAAAAGTATGACATTTTTTTAAACTATAACTACAAAAAGTAATTGATTGCAACTTACAAATATGTAATTTAAGAAATCTAAATTATAATGTACAGAAATGCGTGTAGGCACACCAAATATTGATAACATTCATTAAAATGCTTTATTATATATCCTTACCTGATGCCACATTTTTGGTTCTTGATGTAAAACAAGTCAGTATGTTTACTTGGTACCAAAAATATTCCTGGAACACACTGTAAACAACCAGGAAATCAATATTACATGTAAAACCTAATAGCTGATATTTTCCTTCCAATAAAAGAAAATATTTGCTTTATTGTCTATTTACAAAACAATCCTAGAAATTATAAACTCTTAGAATGAATTAACTTTACTTAGAAAGATATTTAGTTTACTGTACTTACACTTCATATTCAATAGTCTGTCCAATATCCTGACTACCCCAAACACTACTAGTTTAATACTTCTCCACTTAATAGTAAATTTACTTTCAACAAAATGAATATCACTTTGTATCTAAAACTTATCACACTTAAATCATTTTATAAACCTTTGTAACACCCTCTTTAATAATTAAAAACAAGTACAATCATAACATCCAAGCAACAGAAGAACTCATCCAAATTAAATAAAACTTTGTCACCTTACAAGAAATAATCAATATGATCATAGCACTGTTAAATCTTTAAAAGCATAGCATCAATAAATTTATACTATAATATCAATGCTCTAAATAATTTTACATAATGTTAATATGAAGGTAATAAAATTTGTCTCAATAATTTTAGGCCTATTAGACTTACATAAGTTTTAGGAAAAGGTTTGGAAAATCTGATAAAAGATGTTTTACAAAGCTATTTAACAAAGTTTAGTATTTTATTGAATGGTCAACATGGTTTCACTAACAAATCTTTCGACATTCTTTGAAATGATGAGAGTGAGGGTGTAGATTTGGGGTATCTGAAATTTCAGAAAGCATTTGACAAGGTGCCACATAAAAGGCTTGTAAAACAATTATCTCTATAGTTGGAAGGAAAAAGTTAGCTAAATGGATAGAAGAAAGAAAGCAGAGGGTTGTTATAAATGGAGTTCAGTCAAAGTGGATTAATGTCACAAGTGAAGTACCTCAGGGCTCAGTGTGAGGACCTGTTCTCTTTTTGATTGACACCAGTGACATAGATAAAGGAATGGTCAATAAATTACTTAAATTTACAGATGATATTAAGGTCTTGGGTGTTGCTAGCAGTGAAGAGGATGCTGGTATTTTACAAAAGGATTTAGATCATATAGTGAGTTTGGCAGATAAATAGCAGATGGGTTTTAATTATAATAAATTCAAGATAATGCATGTGGGTTATCATAATTAGAATTATAAGTATAATTTGGATGGGAACAACCTGAACAGTGTCATGAAAGAAAGTGATCTTGGTGTAATGACTGATCAGTCTCTTAAGCCATCCAAGCAGTGTGCTGTTGCTAGTGGTTGGGCAAATAGGATTTTAGTTTGTATCTACAGAAATATCAAACACAAGTCTAAAGAGGTTATAATTTCATTGTATAGGTAACTGGCTAGGCCACATTTGGAGTATTGTGTTCAGTCTTGGGCTCCTTACCTTAGGAAAGACATTGAATTGTTGGAAAGGGTTCAGAGGAGAGCTACTAGAATGGTGTGTTGGATTGAGGGGTTGTTATATCAGGAGAGGTTAAGATCTCTGAAATTATTTTCTCTTAAAAAAAAAAAAGAAGAGTCAGAGGGGATATGATTGAGGTGTTCAAGATTGTAAAGGGAATTGATAGTGTTGATGCATCATCTTTTTTCATACTTAACAGTTAGAATAGTAGGGAACACAAATATAAATTTTGGCAAGGTAGGAGTCACCTTCAGTTAAGAATGGGTTGCCTTTGGATGTTGTGGATGCAGTAAATTTAAGTGAGTTTAAGAGAAAGCTTGATAATTATATGAATGCTAAGCACTGACTTTTAAATTTATTTATTTAATAGTTTTAGTTTAGTTTAGAGAATAGGACAGCCAAGATGGACCAATAGATCCCTTGTTGTCCCTAAACATTATGTTATGTTATAACAAGTCTAAGCCTTTTAAGTATGGTCAATCATCTATAAGATCTTTAACTGAAAAGTGTTGCAAATAAATATATGTCTGTAACAACTTACACAGTCAAGTGTGATGAAGAAAAACCACTGTGATAAGGAATAGAAAATTAAAGAATGGAATGTCTTTAGTCATAAGGTTGGCAGTGTTAGTAAACTCTTAAGAAATGAATTAAACAAACAAGCATAAAAATTGTAATAAAAATCATAAACTGCAGATGTTTTTATTTCCATATTCCTCTTAATTTATCCATTTTGAATTCAAAATCAGAAGCATATAAAAATAGCATTTCTGATCTATCTTTTGTTCCCAGTTTTTGGCATATAAACTGTAACTTTTGAGTATTATACTACATATACAAATAATGTTTCTGACTATTTTTTGCCTTTCACTGTCCAGTTCAACTAACAAGTTCTGGTATTGAATAAAAGGACTCTTTCTCAGTGACTTGTGGGAAACAAAAGATAGACCTCAGAAATTACTTTATTAATGAATTAAACAAAAATATACAAAGAAACAACATTGATAATATCAACTCACACGAAATAATAACAACAACAAAATTCTATGCTAACTTTTCTTAATTACCCTTCAGCTTTTAAGAGCTGGCTATCTTTTGTTTGTTCCCTTTATAAGCTCCTTCCCTTTCAAGTCTGGCCTTTGGACAGATCTTATTTTCAAGGTCACCTTCAAATGTTATGGTGGATTAAAGTGGATAGAACTAGATCAGATACACTAGTGGTCATATATTCATATTGTCTGGGCTACTGTTCTGTAGACATCTAGCTAGAACTTGCCACCTTATAAATAACTTTGTACATGTTTCTATAATTTACAGTAAGTTAAAACATTAAATTTAAATAATTCAGTATGTATTTTAGTTACTTACAGTAATAGCTAGATTAATATATAACATTAAATTTCTAAAATAGTAATAAATACATTAGTCAAATGTGATACGTATGATACATGAAGCTTTACACATGACAGCTTGGTAATATCACAAAGCAAGCCCAACCTCTAAGCTGCATGCATACATGGCCATGCAGCAATCTGACAGGTACCATACATCAAAAACAACAGGCTGCTCAGATATTAGTCAGTTGGTAATAGTTTTGAGTGGAAGACACCATGGCCAAATGTAAGGCAAGAGTACAGATACCAACTGTCACTCAAAAAAAAAAAGTCCTGGACAGAAAAGTAATGTTCATAGGAGATTGTACTCTGTCCCACAAAAAGAAAAATTTTAAGAAACATTAGTTAAGAGCCAAAAGCAAAATTAGCAGCAAGGGTACCCAAATGACGACATACGGCAGAATGGTCATAGAATATTTCTATAGCTTGCCTGTTAATCATAATTAACATTATTTATAATTTATTGTAATTATTATTGTAAACTTTTAGCAACTGTTCTAGAAGTTATTATACAATCAATATAAAAATGACTCGTTTAATATTTTAGTTAGATAGGAAGGAGATGAAGTAGTTTTCTTAAGACAAATAAAAATATAGTTGAACTAAACAATAGAAGGAAAAATACATAAATGATAAAACCATAACTTAGAAAAAAAAATTTACATTTACTTCAGGACAAGTAAAAAAAAAACACTGAAAATTTGGAGTTTTTGAAAAAAGAAAGGAGGAGGTCCTTTTTCTTTAAATGACTTCTAAAGAAAGTTTGCACCCCCTTTTTTCATGGTTGTTACTTGTTTTCAAAATGTCCATGTCGAACAGACGTCTTCTTTGTTTCATTTTTTCATCAAAACAATACAGAATTTATGACAAATAAAGAAAAAGGGCAAAATGAATCAACTGTGTTCATCTCATTTCTTATTTAGGAGTCTTCTTTGTTTCTTTGTGATTGAAAAATAATTCCAAAAAAGGAAAGAAATCACACAAGAAAGAGGGGGAGGTGGCTGCAAAAAAAAAAGCAGGTGGGGATACTAAACATGTATTTGTTTTTACTTGGCCTTACATCTTTTAAAAGTAAATCAAAGAATCCAATCATAACTTTCATTTTTCTTCTTAAAAATATGTATATAATAATTGTAATACAGAATAACATAAACTATTTAGAATACCACTACCAGTTAAAATGTGTTAGGGTTTATTGTAGCATAAGAATTAATATTCACAAGTCTCTTACAGTTACAGCTCAGAACTTGCATTTACATCAAGATCAATCATCTACATTCAAAAAAAAAAAACATTGTGGTAATAAAAAGTGTTCCACACTCTTATTTAATTAAATGGAAAGAAAATCCGTTATTTCTCCGATGCAGCATAAATTCTAACAGCCTATGATAATTAATAATAATACAGAGAACCGTAACATTCAAAGTCAGTATGTTACCCGTCACTGTAGTGTATACTGATGTTGACAATAATAGTATTACTATTATTATTAATACTGATAGTAATAAGTTCCGAGTGTCCCTGTTGTGACACAACACTAGTTTAAACTGTTAACCTTTTGTTAAATGCTCCACCGTATGAAACTATATCTTAGGCTGATTTTTCTTGTTAAGACTTTTAAAATCCAATCTAAAATACTGTCTTCTTCTGTTCATTCTTAAGCCTAACCCGAACCTTCCTCTCCAAACTTCGATGTCCATACTCAGAATCATAGGCCTAAAGTAAACAGTATTTTAAAAGCTTAAACAGTAAACTAAAGTCAAACAACTTTATTCCTTAAAAGTTTACGTATTGCTATTAACTCAGCTTTAATAAATCCTATTGCGTCAGTATAATTAATTAAAAGACATAATTCATCAAAATACAATTATTCTGCCAAAGTTTATTACCGATTTGACAATTTACAAAGTGCCTTTCTCACCTATGGAGTTGAGCCTACTTCGCTTATATCATCCTCCCACAACAATCTAATAAAAACAAATCCTTCACTATAATTTTGTTTACATGACAACTTCAAGAGCCCTAATATGGTCCCTGAAACGGAGAGCTTTTGTTTGTTTCTTTGTTTTTCATCAGTTATTGAACTACTTATAGAATTTAAATAAAATAAATATTAGATATGTTATATAATAACCATGAATGTCGCAAAGATTTTCTTATGAGGTTCGTTACAGTTCATGATACATCTTTGTTATAGATCTGTGTTCTTACAAAGAATAACTGCACTTGTTATTACAAAAACTGAAAGAATGGACAAGTTATTTTGAAGTAGATAACCATGCAAGTTTTTTAAATAAACTGGATACTTTATAATTTTATTGAAATATATATATATGTACGTCACAATTGGATTTTTGTAAATTACTTATAATAACTATTTTGCAATTATTATTGTTACGTATCTGCTTGTTTGTTAATTTCCGGTAGAAATTATTTCCGAGAAACTTCAGCGATACAAGTCCTTTCTTGGTTAAACCAGTTTATTCTTCCTCGATACACACTTTT